CCCGTTTCCTCCAACTTTTCTTAGTAAAGGCTAAACACCAAAAATCCGGGACATCAAAGAAACTGTGGGAACGGCGTGTAGAGCTTGTCAGCGGGTGAAGGAGAGGGGGAAGCACGTCCCTCTACGAGTGCGGGCGGGTAGATGGGGGTGGGGGGCTAAGTCTGCACACATGCGCCTGTGCGCCGCTAGAGTGCGCTGGGTGGCTGGGGTAAAGCGATGTCAGTTGCCTCATAATTACCTTTAACTTTTCCTGTAGTTTCTTTAAAACTTCCTCACATCTATCCAAAGTATCAATCCGCATCCTGGAAAATATAAGAAAAATTTTAACTACAAATATAGGAATTTTAGAAAACGATGACGAGAGACTGAAAACTCCTTACCTCTGCTTTGGGGAAGTGAGAATCTGCTGCAGATTCTTCATTTTACCCAACTGTGAAGCTCTCACTTTATCTTTACTGGCCTCTAATTTTGCAATGGTTTCATTCAAGAATGGTAAATATTTCTGCAGTTTGGCTAACTTTTCTTCATAAGCGCTCCCTGAAAACAAAAGAGGAAGACAACGCTGACTTTCCACTTCGGGCCGACGAATGTTCGCCAAACACAGTAAATAATGTGTCGTTTACCTCCCGGTTCATCGCTATTTGACGGTTTTGACTCGGCACCGAGATTACTTTGCTCCTGGGATTCCATTGCTGAGCGAGGTGCAGATCGTGCAAATGTACTTGAAGAAAGTCGTCCACTCAAAATTCAACGCCTGGAAACGAATGGGTAAAATCAGGAACTGGAAGATTGGTAAGATCGGAATTTCTCTTCATCTCAATGACCAAAAATACGAATCGTGCCGCCGCGCCAATGGGGACGACATCCGGTCTAGTCATAGCCTGTACTAAAGGGCCTCAAAAAAAGAGTCCCGCATGACTCCGGCTTGATTCCGCGATTTCCACACTTTAAAGTCCACAACTTTAACCCGGAACGAAACCGCGACAAGAAATAATAATAATATCATATCTCTCAACAAACGAAGGCCGGACCGGAAGCAGTCACAACTTCTTCTCCTGGCAAGAGCTCATGATCCCCTTCCTTTCCCGTTTGCTGGTCAGGGTACGCTGATCTATGGATCCGCGATCTCAAACAGCCAAACAGCGAAAGCAAACCACAAAGACATTTTTAATCGATGGAGGAGCTTTCTCAAAGATTCATTTCAAGAACCGACACAGCAAAAATATACGATCATCATGAATGGCCAAGCAGGGTGCTTGATAGATGTCCGTCGGACTTCCAAAGCCGTGCGCTAGCGTATAGGCCCGGTCTACTTGGTACCTACCGCATATACCAACTAGAACTCATGCAATCAAACATAGTAACATATGCAGTAGGTGGTCATATTCGTTAAATTTGCTCAAATATTGTAGGAGGGTGTTGACAAACTCGAAAAATATTAAACGGCGAGCAAATTGTTCGTGAAAGGTTAGCTGCGATTTCAAGATTCAGGATTCACAAACAGAACTTTGCACAATAATTTCGGCATTTTCTCGTGAAGTGAAATCGGGGATGACAGTCGGATTAGCAGTGATGCTATGTAGGCCGAAACAAGCGCGGTGCATCTTCTAGACGGCGAAGAGAAATGAAGCCCATGTCACAACTATTTTCCGTGATGAGGATGCCAAATTCTAAAGTAAAGTTCATACCGCGTTTCAAATCTTTACATTTTTATGTAAGACAACCTCACGAAATCTACAGCCGAGCAGCATCAAAGGTGGGCCACAACGATACCTATACACTACACCAAATACGCACTCTTGACGGTAATGTGAAGGGTTCATCACATTCCTTTGTTTATCCTGATCCTGTTCGGCTCCGGCTTATGGTAGATGGCTGCGGCCTGCACCTCCATGGCCGTGGCCTGCCTGCACTCAGACTGCCCCTGTTCTGGTCGCCAAAAAGGTTATGATCCCCTGCGAACTCACCAAAAATACCTGCTTCTGGATACTGCTCCCTACATCTCCAACGCGCCGACCCCAAATAAATAGTTTCTTTAATAAATAGAGAACATTCCTAGAATCGAGTCCACACAGCCCGGAGTGAGTGTTAACATTTATCTTACAAAGGACTACATTTACGAGAATGAGTCACTCCACTCCTTTCACAACACCGGAATCGGAATACTGTAAGGGGGATGGCGATGTTTCACGCTTCTGCCACAGAGGTGCTGGCAGAGCGCGCTGTATCGCCTTGAGTTGTCCAAGATGGGGTGCTTCTAGGCTGTGCACCGTCCGTCGTCTCTTGGCGCATTTGCGTGTTCTTGATTCTAACGCTTTACAAGACTCACAAAGGTAAGAAGTCGTGGAACGTGACGCTATCCCTCCTCATCCTCCACACGAATGCAATGCGTTCACTAAGGGAGAACTTTCCTAGGGCGGTACATAAAGGTGTTTACTCGCGGTTTTGTGTCTAATTTAGCCCCCGTTGACGTCCATAATTTATTTTAGCCAACTCGCCACATTTTGCTTACATATGAATGAGACACGCGAACTAAATGTAGGTTCGCGCATTGTTAGCGCATCGCTTTGGCTATCAATAACTACATTGGGTTGTTTCAACGACATAACCTTTACGCTAGCTGTTGCCCTACACCCATTCTAATGTTTTGTAACGTTCTCTCGCGTTTAGAACCGCTCTCAATTTTCCGCTTGCTAGAATTTCCGCCTCTAATTTGTATAGATTCGCGTCCTATTATTGCCTGGCGCAACATTACGACCTAACCTCGGGGCCTTCGCGATGCTCTCGCTGCGTCACTCCTTGGAGTTTTGGATTAAAGTGTGTCGAACGCACCGCGTTATTTCGAGGGCCGTCTCTTCGTTTCCTTCCTTCCCTTTTCTGCTCTGCGCCCGGAATTGATTTTAGCAACTGGCCGTGTGGTGCCACGTCGCCCGACTGGGGGTCGGAATGACCAGCCGACCAGCCTAGCCCGAAGCTCGGGACGCCCCGGCCGCCCCGGCCCGGTTCACGCGAGGAAGGGGGGCATTGCATTGTTCCTGCGTCTCCTTGACGTCCAGACGAATACATGTAGTGCGCGTCTGCGGTGCTGCCACAGAGGTGCTGCGGTGGGCTCGCTCGGCGACCGCGTCCTGGTTCTGGTTCCCTGCTGACTCGGCGCTCACCCCCCAAAACAGCCCCAGCGGGCCGAAACTGCCCATCCGCTGTGGTGGCCGAGCCCGCAGTAGTAACACAGAGGTCCCTGTTGTTGGTGCATTTGTGCATCAAGCGACACCGTCGCGACGGGAGGGAGGGGGGGGGCAGGGGCGGCTAGCAGCGAAGCGATCGCGGGGCTGCGCAGGGCCCACCCGGGGCCCACCCGCCATGGGCGCGCGGCGGGCCTACGGCGGGCACGGCGCTTCTTGTCGGCGACCCTCTCCTCCTCCTCCGCCCTGGGGCCGAGGTCGTCGGCACGAACCTGCTGCTGCTGTTGCTGCTTCACGTGAGCGTACGTTCGCAGGACTTGCAGGCCGCCAGGCGACATGGCAGCGGCGCCGGTGCGGGTGGCCAAGCGGGGCGCCGTGCCGCGCGTGACAGCTGCACGCCCGTGGGCGCGAGCGGCGCGAGCGGCGCGGTCACCGTGGCCGTGCCGTGGGGCTTGGCCGTGTGGCGGACAGCGGAACGGCTTCCGGGGGAGGGGGAGAGGAGGGGTGTGTGTATGTAAACCCTGTCGGCCGCCCATCCCCTCCCCTTACCTCACAGTGGCACCCAAATCGATGAGAAAGTTGCGCATTACTATGACATTGGACAAGAGTGTGGGCGCCCCTTATGGCATGGCGCCCGCTCGGTCCCCGGTCCCCGCTATTCCGAGGGACAACACATCGCGACAGAACGCCGCCTCGGCGTAAATCGATGCGTGTCCACCGGAGGGTTCTTCTGGCCGATCGAATGGAGGCGACTCGTGGCGACGACCGGCGCTGTGCTGCAGCAGTGTAAAGTAGCCGAGTCGTCGTCGCAAGAGTGGTCCGGTTGCGGGGGGGGGGGG